TAATCTCCACATCAACATGTTACCAAATCAAAGGCCAGATTCCCCTTCTGTCTGGGAACGAGAACATCATGTCAGTGGTATAGGGTACTGCCTAGTTGCATTGGACCCTAGGCCCCTAGTTATAACTACCAAAACCTCACTTGAACACAGGCTCAGTCTCTGTAGGCAAGCTCCTTCTACCAAACCAACCTCTGCAGTCCATAGGCTGGCATTCACTGACTTCTTCTACACATATATCAGAGATCCCTTGTCCTTTTATCACAGACATGCCCTGTGTAATCTTCAGCACTCACCAGGACAGAGCAGACACCAGACTTCCCATCCCTTCCTGTACAACAGTCCTTACCAGTGCTAAAAACGTTTCTCTCTCTGTTTCTTATGTCAGCACGGAATAAAGAATGTGCAGTTGAGTTTACATAAGTATAAAATAAGCTTCACTCCAAATGACGGTATGAAATAGAAGATTAACAAATTATATATTTTGTGGCAAAACATTACGTATTTTGCATTATCAGACATCACCCTTTGCAATTAGGTTGGTGTTTAATTAGCTCCCAAACTCCGGGTGAACTCCCTGGCTTGCACTTCTCCCATTCTATAGAGTATTTCCACCCAACAAGGTATCACAAGCCATCATGGAGCATGATTTATGACACTGCGACAGAGAAACCCAGCTGCACACTCCTCTCTACCATGATCTAATCTCCTCTCTTCCCACTCCACCAAGCCCAACCTTCCTGTCATTTTATAACCCAAGACAAGGAACAATGATTGACAGGCAGGTTGCCTGGAATCCAAGGGATGGGACTTACACTTAAGGGACCTAAAACTCTTTAACAATCTTCCAATGACAAGCATGTTCTATCATGCTGTGTTTTTCTTTACTGAAAGGAAAAAAAACAAGTTTCATGAAAACCTGCAGCTCAGCTCAAACAATAGGCATACAATCTAACCCCCTGATGCCGACAATCTGGTTGTTTTGAATCTGTCATTCTGAATTGTTCCTGACAGTTTTATTGGCGATTGAAACTCAAATCATGCAGAGTCAAGGGCTGCAATTCCATCAAGAGCCTACTATCAATCAATGAAATATGCTCACCTACATGCCAGTCATCAGCCAGATGATTTACAGTCACAAATTATTATACTATTCACCATTAGATGATATGAACATGCTAAATTATAGAATAATAAAATAATGTATATCAGTAATTTTGTCACGGAGCTATTTTCAAATAACTTTTTCCTTAGTACCCTAGGCTGGAGTTCTCTGTGATAAAACACACTGATACAATCTCAGTGATTTATAACTAAAGTTTTTTTCATTCTCTCTAGAGAATCTTTCACAATCTGCACAACATTGTTTACATGACATCTAATGAATTACATGTATCCACAATAATGTCTCTGTGCATTATATTGAATAATATTTGCCATGTGTCTAAGGCTTTCTTCTTTGTCTGTCACACCTTTGGCTAACCTTGCTAATCGTGTTAGTCAGAAAACATGGTTTAATGTAACACAGAGAGTGACCCTGAAAGATGACCCAAAGAGATCAAATGACAACAAGCAACAACAAGGAGTGCAGCTTGAATTCCTTACATAAAATCATCTAAATCAGAATTAACATAAAGTGAAAGTGAAAATCCTCAAAAACAGGTGACAAGCAGGAAAGTGCTGTGTATGTTACCTTGACCACAATTTCCTGTGCTACATTCATATTCACGCATGCAAATGACACATATGGGACGTGTTTAGCTAAGGTCAAAGTTGTATGTGAAAAATATACTGACAACACATCGTTGGCGATGTGTACATGTTTTTCTCTCCAGCTTGTATTATGTTTTCTTCTGAAAAGTGATGCATTAACCTTCCCAGTGTGCAGTTTGCAAAGGATTGTTAAAGCAAATCTGTATAGAAAAGCAATTTCATTTATTGCAGCTTACTAGTCCTTAGATGTTGTGGGTGCAATAGTTTTCACAGATTTTTTACATCATTTTAACAACATTTTTAGCAAGTACATAAATGCAATGTTGAGCATTTACCTACTGAGAGCATCCATTTCTAATTATTTCATCTTCTCCTATCCTGCTCTTCTAACGGATACTTCACAGTGCTCACCTTTAATGCCAGCTGCAAGATACTGATATATGTAGGGGAAAACCCTTGCCGTAATCTTTGTGAATTGACCAGAGTGCTACAAGCTCAATATTATATGCAAATCCACAAAATGTTTTTGATTTATCAAATAACACACAGCAAGTGGAGTTTATGAATTCTCGATTATGGTATGTGAACCTGCCATCACTAATTCATGGCATTCATCAAACCTATCAAACAAAACAAATGTATCTTTTCTGCCAGACCCGCCATCGTGCAGTAGGGGGCAACTGTTAAAACTGAAAAATGATGAACACAAAAGGGCAAAAGGCAATCTGCAAGAAGGGTGATATTGCCAACATCAAGGCTACAGGCACATTCCAAAAAGGTGTGCCGCACAACTGTTACCATGGCAAGACTGGTCGGATCTATGATGTCACACAGCATGCTGTGAGTATAATTGTGAACAAACACGTCAAATGTAGGATTATTGCCAAAAGAATCAATGTCCCTGTAGAGCATATATGCCGCTCTAACAGCAGAGACAGTTTCCACAGTGTGTAAGGGCAAATGAGAAGAAGAAAAGAAAGCCGAGGAAAAGGGCACCTACGTGGAGCTAAAACATGAGGCAGCCCAGCCAAGAGAGGCTCACTTTGTCCAAACATTTGGAAAGGAACCTGAGCTCCTTGAGCCAATTCCATATGAGTTAGCAGAAAGTACCGCTATTAAAAACCCTTTTCTCAAAAAAATTGTATGCTCAACCCATTCTCAACCTTCAGGTCAGATCTTCAACTATTGTGGAACCCCTTTTAAAACCAATTTATCATAAGGTAATTATAGAAAAATGCCCTTTACATTGGTGGTCATTGAGAAGAATGCACTCCTTACAGTGGTGGTCAGAATGCCACTCTTTCAGACAGTTAAAAATTGGTGTCTTTGGTTGGCACATCAATGTAGCATTGACTGCAGAACTAGGCAGCCACCCTCAGATGGGAGGTCAATTAGCCAAGGCCTAAAGAACCTCTAACATCATCTTGTTAAGAATATCTGCTCTAAAGTTATTCTTACCTTTATTGCTTTCCTGTCTCCCCTGTCTGTTAGTCTGTCATATCTGTAGCAAGAAAATCCTATCCAAATATCATTTTTTAAAAGGCGGTATTTACTCAGGGATAGTGCAATTAAATGTTTTGCTGTTCGATGCATGGGACAATGTATATTTGGATGTTGCATGCCCAAAATTGAAGGGATTTTTTTGTTAGAGCTGCAGCAATGGATTGGGAGTTGGTAAAGGTACCGTTTGGCTGTGTTCAATAAAAATTGAGGGTTAGTTTTCCAAACCTGTAGCCAATACAAGCTTAATATAATATCAAACCAGCTAGGTCAGGTATCATTTTTTTCCATATGTACCAATGAAATATGTAGTAGAGACTTGAAAGTGATAGATACATTTATCAACATTAGAGACATGTGAATCCATAGTTGTGAAATAGATGGCTGTGATTAAAGGACTTTCAACATAGCCTTTTGTTTGTGACCCTTGTGGTATCGTGAGCTGAAGCCTCAGAGAAATGTCTACAACAATTCTACATGTGTGTACCAAATTTATCATGTTGTCTGCAACTTTTTGCTCTTCAAAGACATACTGATCCTTAAGTGAATCACAAAGTCTTAGAGCTTTTACTTTTAAATTCATGTTTCCATTGCAGTAATAATGAGGCACTAAGAGCGCAAATCCAGAATTATAAATGGTTTGATTTTGTATATTTGTGAAAAAGTTATTTTTTTTTAAAAGGTGAAAAACTTACTTGTGGTGTTAGCGATCCGGCACGGTGGCGATTCTAGTGATGCAGGGAGTGGTGGTTAACATTTTTTGTTTTAACCATCTCCGAGCTTGAAAAAGAGGATCTCCTTGAAACGCGTTGCTCACTGTCACGGCCCTGTGCACTCCCCTTCCCAATTGACTGTCACTTCCACTCCATCACCTCTAGAACATATACTACACGAAGACCAGAGGCAGTTTGCACATCAGCCTTTTGGCACACATAGCATTCAACCTGCTTTCTACCTCAGTCCTTGACTCCTGAGCTCATCACTATAACTGATGACACCATTCCAAGCCGCCATAAACAACCCCTAAAGCAAGCCCTATTCCATCCCACTCTGCCACTTGGAGACCACTGGATATTGAACAAAAAATTTGAACAAAAAATTTTAACAAAAAATTTTAACCACTACTCCCTGCAGCGCTAGAATCGCCACCGTGCCCGGATCCCTGACACCACAAGTAAGTTTTTCACCTTTAAAAAAAAAACACTTTTTCACAAATATACAAAATCAAACCATTTATAATTCTGGATTTGCGCTCTTAGTGCCTCATTATTACATTCACAGGGTTCTCCTCCTATTTTTTGAGCAGCAATCCACACCATTTTGCATCCACGCACGCCCTGCATCCCTGAAAGAGCGCTGTGTAATTTTTTTTTTTATGTTTCCATTGCAGAAAACCGAAAGTAGAAAACCTGAGGTTTTGGCAGTCCAGAACAGTCTATAAGCTACATAGAAGCTGCTTAGAGTCAGTTCTCAACACTGACCTGTGCCTGGACATTAGAGAGAATCGCTCAAAATGGCAAGTCCTGTCCAGAGTAAATAACACTGTAACATTAATTGGGGCTCTGACAGACACAAATAAATATGTTACTTTATCTTAAAGTGACACTAAATCCAGAAGTTAAATCGTAAAAATACATTCAAGTTCCTTAACTAGTAACAAAACTGTACCTTAGTTGTGTATCACTCAGCTGTAGGTCCTTAAATCATCTTTAAACTGGTGCTGACACTATCCTTCCCAATGGTCCCCATGTGTGTTATACAGTAACCACCGCTCCAAGCTTACTCCCGCGATAGGCTACAATACAAATTAGAAAACTAAACGTGAGATTGTAGTCCATCTCAGGAGCAAGCTTGGAGTGGTGGCTACTTTACAACACGCAAAGGGACCATGGGGAACAAAAGTAGCCACCCTCCAGAAGGAAGGACAGTGTAAGCATGAATTCAGAGTTGATTTGAGGATCTACAGCTGAGTGATGCAAACTTCTCAAACCTTTCAACAGTGAATCCAGATCAAAGAAATATATATTGCCCAGCAAAGTATTTCCTTATATTTTCCCCTAGGCATTCTCTCAGCCCTGCTTCCCTGAACTTCCTGTCCAGGACAAGACAGAGCAGTCTCCAGCAACTGTCCATCTACTACCTTGGTAAAGGGAGGAGGGAGGAGAGGGTGCCAGAGGGGAAGGGAGTTGCTTAATCTTCTGTGTCGGTGTGATTGTGGAGACACACACAGCTCACTAACACACACACGGGCCTTTGCACTCTGCTTGAGAAAGGAGCCACCCTGAAACAGGATATCAGGACCAGTGCTCAGGGGGATCAGCTTAATCTGCAGGAAACCAAAACTTTTAAGTGTTAAGGTGCAGCATCCATTGTAAGTGATTTCATCAGCATTTAGAATAGCTTAAGCCCTTTTGAGTTTAATATCACTTTAGTTCAATCTGAGTTTATTAAAGATTTTAAATGCGGTACAAAAAAGGTGAACATACATTTTCACCATGAAATAATAAACACAAAACACAGTATACAAAATCACATAAAAGATAAGAGCTTGTAGGCCAGTAGGCCCGAAGACAACATCAGCAGGACATCCATCAGGATATAAATGGTGTCATTGTCAACATCATTGGTTTCGCACAGAACACAATGCATAGCGAGGATCTCTTATGTCGGTACTGACCCAGGTCTCCCTGCAGCGTCCTCTGTCAACGCAATCTGTCATGGGGCAGGAAGATAAGGTAGGTAGGAAACCGCGCAAGAGGGTATGCTATGCAGCTCGGGTTGTGGCGCTCAGCTTGTGGACAACCAAGATCATTTATGCGGGGTAGAGCAGGGGGGATCAGTGGGTGGGGAGGGGGGTTCTCAGGGGGAGAAGGAGAGAAAGAGGAAGAGTAAGGAAGCCCAGTGGAGCAGCGCAGATGAAAGTTTAAGTAGAGGGGTGGTAGTCTCCCACCCCCCGCCAGGCAACACCAATAGCGCCCCCCGAAGAGGTATACTAGGGTGAGAGGGTAGCTAGGGAGATGTCTGAAGACCTGAAAATAGTCCAGGTGGACTACGTGTGCACATATTTTTCTCCCTCTCCACGTTCTCCTGCCAGGAGGCTCTCCAGGTCCGCAATGTGGTCCATCTCCACAACCCACTTCGCAAGGGTGGGCACCACCGGCGTATGCCAATGACATGGGATAACAGCTCTAGCTGCTGTAAGAAAATGTCGCAAAAGGCCCTTCTTCGCCCTCTTGAGCGATCCCGGGATCATGGACAATAGGAGAATTTTGGGGTCATTTGTGATTGCTGTACCTGTCACTCTGAGGTATGTCTCCAACACTCCCTGCCAGAATGCCTGAAGCTGAGGACAGCTCCACCAAATATGCGTCATATGTCCTGGGGAGGTACCACACCTCCAACAGGCATCAGACACTGCGGGGTAATACCGACGGAGGACCGCAGGACACCTGTACCATCTGGTGAGTATTTTAAAGTTCTTCTCTTGGGCCAGGCTAGCGATGGATAAAGAGTGCGTGAGGGCAAACGACTTCTCCCAGTCGTCGGGTGTAAAGGTGAGTTCCAGTTCACGTTCCCAGGCCAAGGTATAGGCAGGTAGGGTGGGGGATGTCAGAATGGAGTAGAGAAGGGAGACTACGTGTGATGGGGGCATTGAGGCCAGGAGGAGAGAATCAAACTCCTTCGGTTCCCCGCCCAGACGGTCCGGTCCATGGAGAGAGGAGACGAAGGAGCGAAACTGTCCCTCCGACAACCAGTCCCCAGGGCCCAGTTCAGGGTGGGTAGTCTCCGCCAGGGGCTGTTCCTGCAATGCGGAGAGCACCCTGCGGTGAGATGTCCTTGTCCAGTTACCAAAGGAAGGTCTAGTCAGGGCCGGGGGGGAAAGTCAGGTTCCTGAATAGAGGGGTAATTGGGGCAATATAGGCTGATAAGGTATGTGTAGAGACATATCGGTCCCACACTTTCAAGACATGAGCTGTCAGTAGGGGCAAGGAAGAGTGTGGCAGCCTGGATCCAGGGGGTATCCAGGGCAGTGCCAGCAAATCACTAGCTGCAAGAGTCTCTTCCAGTCCGACCCACTGTTTCTCACCCCTCTTGTGAAACAAGTCTACTATGCGAGTCAGGACGGCGGACGCGTGTTAGAGAAAGATATCCGGTGCGCTCGCCCCCCCGCGCGTTTCGGAAGGACCAGTGACCTGTAGCTTATTCGTGGATGCGAGGTGCCCCAGATAAACTTTGTGAAGGCCTGTTGGACCTGTTTCAGATATGCAGATGGCAGAGCAATGGGTACTGTCTGAAACAGATAGAGAAATCTAGAAACTATGTCCATTTTAAGTGCATTGATGCGCCCCAACCAGGAAATATGTTTGCGGTCATAGATGGCTAAATCTAGAGTGAGCTTGTCCAGTAGGGGGCGAAAGTTCGCAGAAAACAGGTTGGCTAGGTTCGTCGGG